TTCAAACAATTTTTGAACAAAATCACTTTTAAGACCCTTGATGGAATATGACTTACAATTTTAGAATCTCATATTAACTGTCAACTTGAATTTGTCCCCCCATACCAAAAAAAGTTAGTAATTAGTCAAACCATCACACATCACATTTAATTCATACTTTAATTCACTTTTCCCCACTTTTAATAGCTAAAAAAGTAACATCTTGAATTTGGATTATCAGTTGTAAGAATTGGGACTGCTTTCATTTTGTGGGCCCCGTATCACAGCTTTCTACCTCCCAAGTATTCTGAAATGCTGAGCTTTCAGTCTTTACGGCCAGGATTTCTACTTCAGTGTCAAGAAATAATCTTGATAAGCAAAAATCTAAATAACATGATGACTTCTATGTTACTCTTACTGATTATAGGATATTACAAATTATGCATAGTCTTATTTCTTCTTTACCTGTTTCTCAGGCCTGTTCCATTGCCGCAGCCCCCACCAACCAAAGTCTGTAAAGAAGGTAAAGCTGAACGGCTTAGCTGCTGCCGACTAGGGCCCCTCCTTCCACCGGGCATGTCCGGGTTCCAGTCCGCTGCCAGCGTCACCTGTAGTTGCAACCCAGCTTACTGGTTGTCAACCCGTTTCAACTCTGAACAACAAGAAAAATTTTAATGTCAGTTTCCTATTTTAAACTAGGCATAGTAACAAGACGCAACAACCAGAAAAACTGAGTGAACAGGCCTCCAAAAGCAGATTTTCAAACAAATGTTCCCAGGATCTATTACCTACTTTATTCTACTGAAAGGACTACTGAGACTCTAATGGTTCAGAAGCCTAAGTTCTGATCTAAGCTCTGTGCAGCATTAGAGAAGTCACAGTTTGTGACTTCTATCAGTTGACTTGTATCATATGAAAGATAGTACAATCAGGTAAAAGTTTACAAGAAACACCTAATATATACGTTTCCAATGTAAATGTAATATTTCACAGTAAGCCACTTGAAATACAGTTGAATCAGCAGTGTTCAAAAATGCTAGATTTTGTTATCAAGGGATCTGGGTTCTGAGATCAGATGAGTCACATATCTGACTTTGAGACATGTAACCTCTGAGTTTGTTTCTTCATCAAAAAAGAAGTGTTCCCTGTCCTACAGAGGTTGGCATTAGAACTGACAAATACGGATGAAAACACATCAGTAGGCCTTTTAACTCCTTACAGGTGGGACTGTTTAAAGTGGTATCTCCATACCTTAGAGTAAAAATATTATAAGGGGCTTAAGTGGATGTCCACTCCAGGAAAATTGGTGTAAATCATTTAGAAATTACTGAAACTGCAGGATTAAAAGACAACATAATTACCCTCACTGAAAAGAAAACTGTGTTTTCATCAGTCTATGGCAAAATCATGGCTCCGCCAACATGGATACCAAAATCTGTTTCCGAAACAACACAACATAAAAACTGAAGAATGACACGTTGGAAAAACCCTGATTTTCAAAACGTCACTGCAGGCTTATCCCTTGTTCCCTATTCCTAACAGCCTTCTTAGACCACCAAATGCCAGGTGAGACAAAGCATTCAAACCGTTGGATGTAGGGACTGCTGGTCCGTGCTCAATTAATGAGCAAAGAAAAAGAAAAGTGCGATGCAAAAAACTGGGATGTTAGAGGCGAGAGGATGGGGTGGGGGAAGATGGACTGTGAGGGACCACAAACTTCAACAGACTGGTCCCCTGAGAGGGGACGACAAAGCGATCCCCGCCGCGCCACCCGAGAAACCGAACCAGGACCGGGACAGTCGGACAGCACAGCAACTCGGTAATACTCACGCATCGAGGAGGCCCGGCCGGTGGGGCGGGATCCCTGGGAGGAGGAGGCGGCTTTACAGGCTGGACCCCAGGCAGGAAAACTCCCTTCCTGCGTTGAGGTGCGCCAAACCAGCTGTCTGTCTGCAGGCCGTCCCCGTCCGGAGAGTCGAGAAAAGGTGTCCAGGCTTCGTGCTGCCAGAGCCAGACCCCGAGTCAGTGCCAAAGTCAGAGCCAGAGCTAAAACTAGAGCCAGAGCCCGGCTCCGTCAGGACTCAGTCTAAGCCTCCATTACAGCGGAGCTGAGCAGACGTGGCAAGCGCACGGCGATGACGTCGGCTCCGCGACAGCAGGCCACCCCTGCAGCGAACTGGCCCCCGGAACCACACAGGCAGCTGGGGAAGCGAGCACCCCACCTCTCCTGCATGCACCTGCGCAGTGGGACTCGGCTGGGCTCATGGTCCAGCCTTCCAGGCCAGAGCCGGCCCACGTACTTCCTCCCCGGGCCTGGAACACCGATCCCTGACGATATCCTGGCATCACGCTAGGGGTCCTTGTTTTCTTATGGACTCCCAGTAACTGTCACTACAAGTGATCGTCTCTATCTTGCAGATGGGAGGGGTTGGGAGACGACACCTAGAGTCACATCGCTGCTTAGTAAAGGAACACGAGCCGCCAATCCTTGCTTCAGCATCCGGTCGTGCCCTTACTATATGTTTAGTAAAGGACTAGATAGATGCTGGAGTTACAAAAGTGAATACCATAAACTGCTCAGAGTCTAGTGAAAGAGACAAGACACCAAGAAAACACAGTAGTACAATTTATTACAGTAAATGCAACATTAAAAGTATGCCCAAGGTTCAGAGATAGCGTGCAAGACAATGTAATAAACTCTGGGATGGTAGTGATGTAACATCACCATAAAAAGCTTCACAGAGAGCTTGGAGTTTAAAGCCAAATTTCCAAGAATGAGTAGGCGGTTTGTGGGAGAATAGCTTGCTTGTAAAGGAAGTTGCAGATAAAAAAGTAAGCAGTTGGGCAACATCAAGATGAATTCAGAAGTGCCAATAGTTTGGTATTCAAAGAGCAAAAGCATCAGCTGGAGCGCTTGTGTGAGATATCTGGTTCAGGAGTATGGAGTGTATGATTAGTTAACCTTTATTGAGAGTTTATACTTATTTTTTGGTGCCAGACACTAGACTAAGTACCTTTAAATTTCATTCCAATCTCATAATATGCTTTGATACTACCATTATCCCTATTTTACAGAGGAAACTGAAGTTAAGAGAAGTTAAATAACTTGTTGAAAATAACTCAGCTAACAAGAGGCAGAGCCAGAACTTAGAGCCAGAATGACCAATATCAGTACCACTGAAGTTAGTAATATTCCCAAATATTCTTCGTGTCCTGTTTGTACTACTGAACTTTCATTCATGAATATACAAAACCCAACTAACATCATTATATATTTTCATTCTACTTAGCTCTGGTGAGGAATTTTGTACATTAATTTTCATATTTGCTCTGTTAATTGCTTCCTGTCTTGCTACACTGAAACTTCTTTGCCACTTTTCTGTTGGCTCACCAGCATCTTTCTTTCACTCAGCAACTATTTATTTAGTGCCTACTGTGTATCCAGGCATTGTGTTGGCAAACAAGGCAGGTATGTCCTTGCTCTCCTGGAGCTTATTTTCATTCTAATGAGGGAAATGTATATTTAATAAATAAAATAATTACACATTATAAGTATTATGAAGGAGACAAATAAGGGGTAAAGGTAGAAAATAAGGAAGGTGCTATTTTGAGGGGATATCTGACCCAGGGAATGACATTTCAGCAGAAACCTGGAAGTTGGGAAGGAACCAGAGATGCAAAGATGGGTGAGAAATGCTGTCCACATAAAAACAAAATTTACCAAAGTTTCCAAGGCAGGTTAGAGCTTGGCATGTTTGAGAAACTTATGGCAAAGCTGTAGCTAGGTCACAGTGAGCAAAGGAGAAGGTGCATGGAATGAATATGAAGACACATGCAAAGAGTTTGAACTTGGATGGTCTTTAAAATTACGGTGTTTGCATTTTAAACTGGTGGCTGGAACAGTACCCAGAAATCTGTTTTCATAGCTCCAGGAGGATTCTGGCATTTATTTATATACAGGAACTGCACTTGACATGAAGCAGCCAATTACATAGCTTGGCTGTAAGCAAAATGCGCCGGGACTATCTGCACCCTGCAGACACCACCCTCTGTGGACAGAGGGTTACGAGGAGGTCTCAGTGAAGCAGAGGGAGAGACCTCTACCCAGGCGACAATTACCAGGCAGAGAGTTCACGAACAAGCCAAACATGTGAAAATAAGGGTATGGTAAAATTGTAATATTTCCAGAATATCTCACCTGGCCTAGTGCATCTGTATCCTCAGGGGTGGAGAGAAGTATGGCTTTAGTGTATCTGCATATCAACAGGCATTCTTCAGGGGTGGATAAAAGTTCATCTCCATATCAGTGGGTAATTACCTGGGCATTGAAGGGCTTATCTGAACCTGAGAGGTGAGGGGGAGTGCTGGGTTTGCTTCTGATGGTGCAGTAAAGAGAGACAGCCCCTGACTTCAGTTTGTAAGCAATAAATGGGTTTTAAACTTTATTTCTCCCTTTGACTGATTTCAGTTTTAGAGGTATTTTGCCCTGGGATTTCCTCTCCCAGGACTTAAAATGGAGCAAGCAATTTATTGAAAGTGAAAGTACACACTTACGAAAGCAAGTGCAAGCCTACTCCAGAAAGGAGCAGCCTTGGAAGGGTCTGGGGTTGGCAGTGTTATGGGCAATGTTAAGCAGGGCTGAAATGTTCATATTGTTTCTGGAAAAAGTGGGGCTTTCTCATAATTTGAGTGCCACCCTCTTTCTGTCCTTACAAGGTCCGTCTGGGACCTGTCACGCCCCAGCTTTTTAGTATACGGATGAGCATCTAATGAGCCTGAGGGTAAAAGGTAGGTCATCTTGTCCTCTGTCTTGATCCAGCTGGTTTGGACTGGTTAGAAACTGGCTCCTGGTGGCCAGGGGTTTAGCCCGGACTTTCCCTGCCTCTTGGTAGGTTAACTAGGCGGCCGCAACTTCTCAGAGACGCAATCGCGGACACCGACTGCCGCGGGCAAGGATTTGGGGGCGGGAGAGCAGAGCGGCGCGCCGCCATCTCCGTGCTGGGCGGCCTCCGCCCACGTGGTGCAGCTCCGTGGCCATCTTTGTGCGGGGCCGCGCTTCCGCCGGCAGCGGGGCCTCCGCAGCGGGGCCGCGGGCGATGGAGAGGTGGGCGCGCTCGCAGCTGCGGCTGTGGCTGCTGCTGCTGCTCGTCTTGCCGCCAGTGCTGGGCCGCCAGAAGGAGTCAGGTGGGCTCCGGCTGCCGCGCCCTCCCCGAGGCGGCCGGCGCCGGGCTGACGCTGGGGCACGCGGCGCCCGGGCGCGGGGAGTGAGGGTGTCGGGGCGGCTGACGCGGCTTCGCCTGCCCAGGACCCTGGAGAGTAACCCGTCTCCCGAGGTCGGAGTGATAGCGGGATGAGAGGGGCTCCCGTGTTCCCCCACAGCGGGTGTCGTCTGCGCTCGGCTACCCCGCAACTCTCCAGAACACCCCGGCGGGGGCGGGGATTCGTGGTGGTGGTGGGGGGGGTTTAGTCCATTGCCGGAAGAGAGAAAGGGAGGGTTATTGTCTGTGGCTTTTAAATGATCCTCTTTATGGGTTAATAAAAGGTGAGAGTCCATGTCACTCACTAATTTATCCATAGCCTTCTGAGTGTCAGGCATTACGTTTGGAAGTGTCCCCATTTTTTGGAATCGTGACGGCCCAAGTAGAGGGGCAGGCCTGGCATGAGTGCTAGAGAGCTGCAGAACGGATCCTTCCTGGAATTTCGTGACCACCAGTGGGATGGGGACGGATGCCAAGTTTTGGCTTTCTGTTGGTTCTGTCTGCCTGCTGCTAGCAAATAAGAATAGTCAGGTATTTTGTTAACCCTCATTTACTTTACTTTTTGAAGGTTCAAAATGGAAAGTATTTATTGACCAAATTAATAGGTCTCTGGAGAATTATGAACCATGTTTAAGTCAAAACTGCAGCTGCTACCATGGGTGAGTTCTTTTCTTTCATGTGTCTTTGAGAGTTTAGTTCTTGTCACAAGGAAGTCCCCTAAAATCCCCAAGAGATTTTGGTTGAGTGATCACAAAGCCAGGCATGCTTTGAGAATAGACAGGGTTCCTGAGATGGGTTTCCTATTCCTAGGGGATAAATGTTCCACTGACTGAAAGTTTCTTAATGTCAAGATCTATGTCTTACTGTCCTATCCCTGGCTCAGGCTCCCAATAAATGCTGTTGAAGGGGTGAAGGTACTTACAAATTAATCAAATAAAAAATTTCCTGTTGGTCACTTTAATGTATGCAAATTAGGGCTGGAGAGTGGTATGGTAGGGTCACTTTGAAAGCGGTCTTGGGTTCTAACCCCACACTTCCCACTAATTATCCCTGTGGCGCTTCTCTAGATCTCAGATGCCCCATCAGCTAAGTAATAGGGTCCTTTTTAGCTCCTCATTAGGTTATTCTAGGACTCCTCAAAAAATTCACCCAATGCTTATGATACTTATTGAAAACTTGCTATGTACTGAACTTTAAAAAGGATATGTAATGGTGTAATTTCTGGTTACTGCTGTTAGGCTGCTAGAGGATGTGTGGTGGGTAGGGATTAGGCAGACCAGAACAAAAGGGAGTCAGACAGTGTCACAGTGCAATGCAGAAACCATACCTTGTGTGGGATTCAGCAGCCAGCAGTAGACTGCAGTGACTGGGAGGACATGGGTGTGGCATGAGTATCGGAGGAGGAATGTAGAACAGGCAAGCGGGGGGTGGGCAGCAATCCAGACCGAGAGGGGGAGAGCAGAAATTAACTTCTTTTTCCTTATCCTGGCTTTGTTGTGATGGTTTAGATTACCTGTGTGCTTCTAGGGGAGAAGTTGCTCATTCTGGCCCGCTATTCTTTCCCTTGGCTTATTGTGTTCTCTAATACCAAACCTAAACCCACAGACAGGAGGTAGATGCAATGTGTCACTCTCTTGGCCTGCTTTCCTTGACCATTCCCTTCTTTCCCAGTGTCATAGAAGAGGATCTGACTCCTTTCCGGGGAGGTATCTCCAGGAAGATGATGACCGAGGTAGTCAGACGGAAACTAGGGACCCACTATCAGATCATTAAGAATAGATTATACCGAGAAAATGACTGCATGTTTCCCTCAAGGTAAGACTTATGAGGTAGCTATAGCTTCTGACCTTTTCATATATGGGCCTACTTGATTCTGTTCTTATAGAGAAGCCAATGAAAGGGACTGACAGGTGAATCCCTCCTTGCATTTCAGAGGGATTACCGAATAGTGACAAGGCTCTTCTTGCCTGGGAATTTTTTTTTCCAACTTCTGTCTTCCCTTTGCCTATATCAAAGCCTGTCTCCTCTCTCTTCATAAGGCTTGGGCACATCACTGGTTGTATTGGCTATGGCTCTGCCCAACTTATCCTTCCCAGACAAAGCAGCTGCAGGGCACAGGCTGATGAGGCCTAGCAGGAATGAGCTGTGCTGAAGGAGAAGTATGGTCTCCCATGGACCAAGTATTGTTTTCAGCACTGAGTATTTGAAGAAAGGTGGCAGAAAGTCAAGAGGCATAAGATTACACAGATTATGCAGGGTGTACTAGCCAGAACTTCAGGTATGAGAGTTGACATACCAGTAACATATCAGGGCAGAAGGTGGGTGAGCAAGGAGGCTATGGACTGAGCCGAAGTTGGGTTTAGGCAGCATTATATACAACAAGTGACAAACCTCCCTTTCAGGAATTTTTTTTTTTTTAACTCAAATCTTTATTTAGAAAAAAAAGTCTAAAATTGAGAGGGCATGGTATTGCCTTACTTGAGATCTCTTCCCAATCTCTGTTCTGTTGTTAAAAGTAAAATAAATGAGCAGTATTGTAAAAAACATGCATACATTTGGACATAGGGATTTACATCATTTGTTCTTAATAACAACTGTATTACAGATTAATATATTTTCATTGTCAAATATATGTAAAAATGGCAAGAGGAAAATAAAGATCAACAATTAATATCCCATTACCTTGAAGTAATAACAAATGTTTTAATTGTTACATGTAACATACAGCAGTAATATTTTTTAATTTAACTAGTCTTATTTTAGTATCAAAGGAGTGTTACATGTATATGGTTAAGATATTTAGATAACTCCAAAAGATGTACAATGAATAAAGGAAGTTTCTCTATCACCTTAGAGTTCCAGACCTCTACTCACTAAGTCCTCCTCTCAAGAGACAACCACAATGAAAACTTTTTGCATATGCTTCCAGAAATAGTCTAAGCATATGCAGTTATTTTGTACTCATTAAAAAATATCAGAATATGCTGTATCTTTTGTCCTGAAAGTTACTTTTCTTTTCCATATAACAGTAAATTTTTAAACTGTTCCATAAGTACATGGAGTACATCTCACTCTGCATAATAATCAGTTGTATGCATTTCTTTATTCAGACCTCTATCAATACATTTAAATTATTCCCTACCTTTCCCTTTTAAATTCTGACTAGTGCAAACAATGCTACTTGAGTACTCCTATAAATGTAATAAAAATTTCTAGAAGTAGAATTAACAGGCCAATTAAATTATCGTAAAAATTTTACTAAATAGAAGCAAATTGTCCGCCAGAGAGGTTGTGGCTGTTTACCCTCCCACCACCCTTTTATCACATGCTCAGAATAGACCTTTCACACCCTCAAACACTGCGTAACATTGGACTCTGATTCTTGCCAATCTGATTGGTAAAAATTGCTGTCTGGCTTCACTGGGGTTTTGTATGTCATAGTGATACTTTTAAAATTTTTAGTTGAGAAGCATTTGATGTATAACATGTAAATTTAAGGCATACAACATGTTCATTTGATATATTTATATATTGTATGATTGCTATTGTAGCAATAATTCACAGCTCTATCACATTACATAATTATCCTTTAGTAGTTAAAATAATTAAGTTTCTCTTAGCAAGTCTGATGATTATAATATAATATTGTTATCTGTATTTACCATCCTGTGCATTAGATCTCTAGGCTTATTTACTACTTGTAAGTTTGTACCCTTAAACATCTGTCCTGTCTCCAAAGCCCCAATCCCCTGGTACGCATCATTTCATTCCTGAATTTTACAAGTTTGGCTTTTTTGGCATTTTTTAAATTATTAATACAGTTGAGACTCTTATGTTCATGAACCATTGATATTTTTTGTAGTTATTTCCTTATATAGAAGTCAGTATTTTAAATCAATCACTTCCATGCTTTTGGATCATTTTGTCAAGCCTTGGAGGGCTGCCACCAGGGTAGTGCTTGGGTCAGGACCTCAAAGGACGGGGCGGAAAAGCTAAGCTGTCAGTGTATCCTCTCTTTTTTCCCAAATCCTCTGAGGTTTCCAGGGAGTCTAGTAAGAAAGCTCTGCTACAGTCTTTGTGATTGTGTACATAACATCTTTTTTCTCACTTGCAAACTGATTTTGGTAGTGTTCTGCATTCAGGTTGAAGGTAATGAAAGTTTTCCTATCTTTCCTCATAAATTATGAGACTTAGTTATGGTGGAAATAAAAATAATGTCTTTGTGAGAAATAAAGCTTGAGGAACACAATTAGAAAATTAGCTTTTCCAGATCCTGTCAAAATTCGTATATTGCTTACTAAATAAACTATGGTAAATAAATAATGGTAATCATATAGGGGGAGAAAAGAACAAAACTGGGAATTAATAGAGGTGAAAAAGTTGTAGGAGTAGCAATAATATACCCTTCAAATTTGTGATGATCTAGTTGGAAAATTTCATTAAGTCTTGTAAGCTGGAGCAGCTTAGCTTGGCAAGATAACTCGCAAAACATAAAATAGTTTTCTAAAAGGATAGATAGTCCTTCTAGAAGCATTGCTTTCAGGAGACGTTGCAGTAGGCTGATGATCTGAACATTGACTGTCTTTAAAAGTGTGAGTGGGGCCCTGCCTGGTCCTACAACACTGCTCTGGTGAATTTGTGGTATTTCTGTTTGACAGGTGTAGTGGTGTTGAACACTTTGTTTTGGAAGTTATCGGGCACCTCCCTGACATGGAGATGGTAATCAACGTACGAGATTATCCTCAGGTTCCTAAATGGATGGAGCCTGCCATTCCAGTGTTCTCCTTCAGTAAAGTACGTACAGGAGGAGCCATATGTGGGGTTATGGGAGGGAAGGTGGGAGGGTAGTCCTTTAGGGTATGAGCAGGATTGTCCTGTGATAGAGTCTGATGGGTAAAGGTAAGGATGAATCCTGAGGTCCAGGACTGGGTCTGCGTTCCTCTGAGCTGCACAATGATTGAGCAGCAAGACCGAGGAGATGGGGCTGAGGATCCATAAGGAGTGTGATTAAGACTGTTTTTCGTGTCTAGAGGGCTAGGGATGGAGGATAGGGAGTGAGAGAGGCCTGAGGAAACTATAGGACATGTAAAGTGAGGTTCAGAGATCCTACAGAGCATTCTATAGAGACAGTGGCACAAGAAAGCTCATGGGCTTGGAGTTAGGGAACACCTTCATTCTAAAAATACCTGTTGAGCTCTTATAATGACTATACATCATCTGTCCTGTCCATGTATCCCAAGGGCCCAGTATGGCTAATAGTGAGACCAAAGGTACACAATAACTCCACACAGTTTGTGCCCAAGCAGTGCACTGAGAGGATAGGCCTGGGATATTGGAGAAGGATATGTGAGGGGGTGATCTTTGGGTCTCCTTATGGAGAACAGGAATACTAGGCCACACCAGTGGGTTTGGAGAACTGGGAACAGTCAATATCTTATCAGTATGCAAATGGTTCTTATCACAGTGTGCAATCAGGTTCTTGCAAGTGGTGTATTGTCAGGGTTGGGCTTTCGTTCCCTCGAGACTAGGTGTGAATATATTTGGGGGTGAAGGTGGGGGCACTGTGAGTATGGGTGGAAGATTCTTTTTGGGGAGAGTGGATATGGGAGAACCCTAAGGACTTTGAGAAAAGAAACGTTTATCTGATTTGGTTTCTCCAAAGCAGAGAGACCTTTATTTATCCCGAGTTTTTATCATAGTTTACTTTCTTTCTAGACTTATTTCCTGTATTGCAAGTGGGCTGAGGCCACATTTGTCTTGCATTTTCCATGATTTAGCCTCATTTCTCAAAAGTGCTTGGTCCCATTGTTTGTCATGAAACCTTCCCAGAAGAACAGGTAGCGGCTCCCATGTAAGTCAGGAAGGACTTTACGTTTGTTATTTATCTGTTTCTGTGGATAATAAAGTATGGCCATCAGTATACTAACTTTCTTTTCATCTTTACTTCCCTCTTTTTTTTAACCAATTATTCCTACTTTCCAAGGAAGGGATTTTAGTACATCAGTTCTACAGTAATTGGCAGCTTCAGTTGACAGCTATTATGTCTGAGCTGCTTGATGAATTGCATACTTTTTACTTTTTTTTAAGTATTTGAGAGAAGGCAAACAGCATATTGCATCTGTAATTCCAGTGGAAAAAAACTATGCCATAGAGTTAGAGGTTTATCAGTGGCTAGAGTTTTAACAGGAGTAACCATAAAAAGGGAAGAAAATGGTTTCAGACTTTTTCAAAAAGATGTGAAATGACACCCCTTCTCCCCATTCTGCCCAATGAGCACTTCTGACCCTGATCAGCAAATAACCATGAATTTATTGACCAACCAATGTGAGCTCAACAGTGTCACTGTGTTAGATAATACTAACTTAACACATATTGACTACTTACTATGTGCCAAACACTGTTCCAGGCCTTTTACATGAGATAACTCATTTAGCATTCAAAACAAGCCTATTAAATAGATAATATTAATAATATTTCTCCCATTATAAAGATAAGGAAAATGAAACTTAGAAGGATTAAGTACGTTGCCTAGAGTTGGAAAGAGGTAGAGCTGAACTCAGATGATCTCTCAAGAGCCCTCACTCTTAATCATTGCACCACAGTTCCTGCTGTCAAAAGACCCATCTGGAAAATAACCACATACTGGTTAGATAGTACACACTCCAGGGGTAATAACAGTTAAAAGATGAGAGAGTTAAATGATCATTCAGACTTGGGCATACAATTCCCTTAAACAAGAGCCGTAACAATGTATGTCCTCTGGAAAAACAACGTTGGGGAACTGGAGAAATTGACCTTTATTGTGATTTCAAATTCTGGGATTCAGTGAGCCCAGGAATGTTAACCCATGGTCATTTTGGCCTTTCAATTTCTAGACTCTAGACTCTGCAGACAAGGAAAAATGTATCTTTGGCAGTATAACATTAGAGCAAGGCCTTTGTCCAGTCCTGTGGCATGTATGCAATTTGCTGCTTCTCTCTGTTCCAATACTGAATGAGAACAACCTTTCTGTTTCTGTTGAAGACATCAGAGTACCATGATATCATGTATCCTGCTTGGACATTCTGGGAAGGTGGACCCGCTGTTTGGCCAATTTATCCTACGGGTCTTGGACGATGGGACCTCTTCAGAGAAGATCTGGTAAGGTAGGTCCTTTAGCTAGGTTTAATTTGTCCTTCACTGTGGGTCTTCTTGAAATAAACAGTAGAGTATAAACAATTATTTACTTTAAAATGACTTTTTTCTTTATTGTTGTTGATATACAATCTTATGCTGGTTTCAAATATACAACACAGTGGTTCAATAGTTAGCCATATTGCTAAATCCTCACCCCCTCTAGTGTGGTTACTATCTATCAGCATAGTAAGATGTTACAGAATCATTGACTATATTCTCCATGTTGTACTGCCAGCCCCATGACCAACTTATATTGTGATTGCAAATTATTGTTCACCTTTATCCCCTTCACCTTCCCCCCATACCCACCCTAACCCCTCCCCCTTGGTAACCACTAGTCCCTTCTCAGTGTCTACAGGTCTACTGCTATTCTGTTCCTTCTGTTTTGCTTTGTTTTTATACTCCACAAATGAGTGAGATCATCTGATATTTGTCTTTCTCTGCCTGGCTTATTTTACTGAGCATAATACCCTCTAGATCCATCCATGTTGCAAATGGCAGGATTTCTTTTCCTTTCATGGCTGAATAATATTTCACTGTGTATGTGTTCCACATTTTCTTTATTCATCCATCTACTGATGCATACTTAGGTTGCTTCCATATCTTGACTATTGCAAATAGTATGGCAATAAAAATAGGGGTGCATGTATCTTTTCGAATAAGGGATTTTTGCTTTCTTCAGGTTAATTTCTAGGAGTGGAATTACTGGGTCAAATGGTATTTCTATTTTTAGGTTTTTGAGGAATGTCCATACTGCTTTCCATAGCAGTTGCACCAGTTTACATTTCCCACTAACAGTGCAAGAGGGTTCCCATTTCTTCACATCCTCACCAGCATTTGTTATTTGTTATTTCTTGTCTTTTGGATAGTGACCATCATAACTGGTGTGAGGTGATATCTCATTGTAGCTTTAATTTGCATTTTCCTGATGTTTTGTGAGGTGGAGCATCTTTTCACATGCCTGTTGGCCATTTGTATAAAATGACTAACTTTTAAGATAAAAGACAAAAAAAGCCTGTTTACAGCATAAGCAGTTTTGTATGTGTGTAAAATATTTACATATCCATAGGAATAGAGCAGAGGAGCCTACCCTATGCTATCAGCAATGCTCCCCTCTGTGGGAGGGCTTATAGGAGCCTTTTCTTTTCTTCTTTAAATTGTGTCTGTACTTTTTAAGATTCTCTAAACAAGAGTGAATTACTTTCATAATTAGAAAAAAATGACATGTTTTGGGAAAGGATAGAAAATTATTTGGAGGGACATAAATGTATGTTATAATTTAGAGCTAAGTCCAAGTCCTTTAGATGGGGATAGGGTGATATCCCAAGTACCAGCTTATTCCAGATCCTCTCTGATTCATGATTAAGACATGCCATGACCTGTTGACTCCATCTTGCCATCATGTCAGAATTTAGATTATTCAGGTCATCCAAGCTGTAGGTATTTCTTAACTAGCTACATTTTGCATTAATGATTCAAACAACATTTAGTTAGCAAACCTCTGGAAAAACAGTCTTTGTAGATCTTCTCTCAGGTATAGGGAAAGCAATCATTTAGTTTAACTTTATTTCCACAAATACCTATCACCTGTACTAAGTGTGGCTAGACATTCAAAGGGGATGAAGAGAATGCCCCTTTCCTGAAGAAACATATAGGGCTGCAGTCCTCAGTGGTGGTTAGAGCCACTAGGTAAAAAAATGAGTCTATTAGCTAGTTGTATAATTTAGAAGTTACTTTTTAAGATTGCTTAGTTTCATACTTGATAGAACTGGAACTAGAAATTGTCTTTGTCCTACTTTTTATTTCAGGGGTTGGGGAATGAAGGAGCAGAAAGGTTTAATGATTTGGTCAAAGTCAGGAATCAATCTAGGCCTGAAGTCCAGGTTTTTCAAGTTCATTATCCTCTCCATTTTACCTGTTAACCTTACCCATGATCTCTAGACATTGAGACCATCATTTCTCATTAACTATCTGATTTTGAACATAATTCAAAATGCAAATTTTGGGAAAATATAAGGTCTTTAACTTTCTTTTGTCCAAGTTTTACTTGGCCTTAGTTTTCTAATCCTTTATTTTTTTCAGGAACTTGGAAATACCCTTTTCACACTCTTCCTTCCTTTTGTAGCTCTTTTTCCACCTGCTATACATCTACAGTTAATCCTTGAACAGCATGGAGGTTAGGGGCCTTAATCCCCTGTGGAGTTGAAAATCCCAGTATACCCTTTTAACTCCCACAAAAGTCAACTACTAAAAGCTACTGTATATGAGATGGGTTAATTAACTTCATATGCAACAGAGTAGAAAAATAGAAAAGAAATGGGAGGGTTGTAGGGTCTGACAGAGAAAAGAGAGCAAGCAAAGGGTGAATTAGCTGCTCTGCTGGTCAACTGCCAGGGCTGACACCTGCCTGCAGGTAGAATAGGCCTGGGCTGACAGGGGCGCACTTTGAAGGAGCAAGGATTTCCCTGCTCCCTCCTTCCTCTGAGTTGACCGATCTGGGGGTCAGTCAACTGACTGACTGGGCCTGGCACTTTTCCTTGATCCATGATGATGGCCAGTTAGCTCAGTTGTTTAGAACGTGTTCCTGATAACACCAGGATAACACCAAGATTATGGGTTCAATCCTCTACAGGCCACTTTGTGCATTTTTCCTTTTCTGTTTCTATTGAACACATACCCATGGAATCTACTGCCTTACATCCAATTACAGATTCTATATATTTATTGAAAAAACTGTCTATAAATAATTGCATAGTTCAAACCTGTGTTGTTCAGGGGTCAACTGTACTTTGTTTTTAAAATCTTAAAAAGCAACTCTTTCCAATTTTGAAACTTTTATGTGCTTGTGAAATTTTATTAATATGTCTAACCTAGGCAACTTTTTTCCCCATTTATTGGTGTGTTTCAGAAAATTTTCCATGTTAGTATGCATGAAACTGCTCATTTTTAACAGTTGCATGATATTCCATGGTGTGGATAATAATTTACTTCATTATTTTCTTTAATGACATTTAGGCTGCATATGTAATGTATGCATAATTCCTTGTTTTCTGGTTATTTGAGAGTATGTTGCATACCTTATGACCTTGTGCCCCTTAATATACTTCAGTGTATATTTTCAAAGACCAAGTGTGTTCTCCTTTATAGCCATACTACAATTATTGAATTCAGGAAACAGTATTGATACAACAGTTAATTGTCCCAATCATGTCCTGTATGGCACATTCGCCCCTGGTGTGGGACACAATCCAGGGTCACATTTAGTCATTATGCCTCTGTAGTCTCCTTTAATCCAGAACAACTCTTCAGTCTGCCTTTCTCTTTTATGACACTGACATTGTGAAGAATACAGGCCACATTTTTTATAGAATGTTCTCCAGTTTGGTTTTGTCTGTCTCCTCATGATTAAATTCAGTTTATGCGTTACTGGCCTGAATACTTACATAAGTGATTTTGTGTCTGTTTACCCCCTCATCAGAGATGTTAATTTTGATCACTGTATCAAGGTGTCATCTAGTTCCTCCACCGTGTGGTTACAGTGTTCTCCCTTGTGATATATATATCACATATATCACACATGTATCATGCATGGAACGTAGTAAGTGCTATATAGGTGTTGGCTATATTATTACCTTTAACATATGTCCTAATAAGAATGCTGCCTAACAGCAGGTATAACATGATAACTGTTGTATAGAACAAGGTTTCTCAATCTCGGTACCATGGACGTTTGGGGTGCATTGTAGGGTGTTTAGAGGTACCTCGGTCTTTATCCACTAATAGCCAGTAACAGTTCCCCAGGAGTGACAATCAAAAATGTCTAAAGATACAGTCAGTTGTCTTCTGGGGAAGAGAGGCAAAATCAGCCCCTATTGGGAGCCCCTGATATAGAGACATGATTGGAAGGAAATTCTTCACTGACACGTTAAATTGTAAAAGTGGTTACCTGTGGTGGAAAGATTTCAGATGATTTTCGTACTTTTATTTTATGCTTTTCCATTAGAATTTCATGTAATGAGCTTAAATCATTTTTCCACCAAAAAGAACCCATAGAGCCAAAATTAACTCAGTGCTGTCGTGTTTCTGTATTGGTGAGAGGGGGTATGGAGCATAGCAAGAGATAGTTCTGGCCTTGGACTAGAGAATCAGATAAAGATGATCCAGCAAGGAAGGACTAGAAGATAAGCCAGGAAAATATAGAGCGTGCTTCTCAGCTGAGAGAAAAATGAGTAATATGACACTATATGTATCTGAAATGTGTCTCTACCTAAAAAGTTTGTATATGAAGTCTCACCACTATAGTAAATAGCCCACCAGTACCTCATTAACTCCATCAGTTGTCTCTGTCCTTTTTCAGAGGAAGACACTGAGCAAACTTCTGTGCAGGGTTCCTATGAAGAAAGTTAAGAATGAAAAGCATCTGTGAGCTAGCATTTTCAGTAAGGAAAGCTGATCATGGTAATGTGCACTAAGGCCTGAATTTCAGGGACTTTGCATATATGGAGCCCTTAGTACAGCCTCAAGAATACCAGAGTGCTTTGAAAAAGCCAACTAAATCTGATGAGATCTCTTATGCATCCAAAATAGGAAATCAGGAGGTGATTTGTCTTTCTGCCCTTAATTCAGTTTCTGATATTTTCTGCAGTTCTCTTTGCCTATTAATTTTATCAATAGCATTTTACTTAAAACAGAGAAGAGATCCTTATTATATTGAACTAAATGGCCCTAATCATGTCACTTAGGGTTTGGGAACTTTTCTTTGAATGCTGTTAACTTATTACTGGAGCAATAGAATTGTAGGTATTACTGGCTACCACCTCCAGAGGGATGAAGTACTAACAAAAGGGAACATAATGTCATTGAGTGCTTTCTCCTTTAAAAGTTTAGATGAGACTTATTTAAAAATGTACAGCTCTGAATTCATTTTCAGAAATGGTTATAACCCATTAGTTTTAGAAAAAAACATAGAAACTAATGGAAATCTATTTTTAGGGCAGCAGCACAGTGGCCATGGAAAAAGAAAAATTCCACAGCATATTTCCGGGGATCAAGGTGATTATATTTTCTGACATTTTACAAAGATGTTCTTCCAACTAATTTTTAAAATGTAAGTTACTTTGAGGGTGTGAAGAACTCTACCTCAAAGAGAAAGCTAAGAAATAAATAAAGAATCACAGAATTTTAGACTAAAGAACTCAAATTATTTGCCCAAATCACTCTTAATCATTGAAATTCAAAGAAATAAAGTTGATCCATCCAGTCATTCAACAGGTGTTTACACAGAATCATGACTGGCAGCTGGCTTGTCCTCTTGCAGGAGAGATCTGTTTCCTAGTGGCGCTTATGATCTTGCTTGCCATCACTCTGCCTGTTATTGGCAGAGAAGGAACCATCAGAAGATCTCCTGACTGCCTTTTTTATCAGACCATGTGGCTGCCGAGCAGTGGTTGCAAGTATAGACTGACTCTGGTGAAAATGGAGCAGGAGTGGGGAAGAGGGAGAGGGAAATTGTTGCATAAAGGCCCCATCTGTGCTGCTCAGCTCTGCATCTCCATTGCCAAGAACACTACTTGTCACATAGATACACAGTGAGTATCTTTGGAACAGATGAACACAACAGAGACTGTGAAGGGAGAAGGGTTTTGTAGTTCTCTGGGTGAGTCTTGTCAGAGATCACACCCTCTATTTACTTGGGCCGTGGGCTTCAGAATGCAGATGGGCTCAGCAGCCACTGCTTACTCTACCTGTCAAGTTTCTGATTGTCAGATCTTGAGACCACAGATTCTTAACTTGGAATCCATGTGTGGACTTCAGAGGTTTTAGGACTTTCTTGAAATGATATGGCGATATTTTTCTAGAGAGGGCATGGGGTCCTTGGTTCTCTTCAGATTCTCAGGGGGGTCCGTGACCTCTCAAATGTGAAGACCATCTGCTACTTGGGCCATAATTAGGACTTTTTCTCCATATGGCTTTCAGATTTTTAAGCCCTTTAGTTTTCTTTTTAATTTAAGTATAATACTAGACTTTACACACATACACAACAAAGGTCATATAGCTACTTTGGTGAGTGGTGATTACCTAGTCACACAGCTGTGAGTGCTAGTAGATAGAGGTTACCCAAGCCCTCCCAAAGGAAGCTTGTTCCCCAGGATGTGGCTGTAGTGACCAGCACAACATCAATGGTGGGAAAGAGCCTAGGACCACTTAGACACTGCCATGTCCGGTATCGCATTCTCCACTGTTGATGTAACCACGGAATTGTCCATCTGTGTGTACAGTCACTGCTTACCGTTCACCGGTAACAGTAGTATGGGGTAGGACACACAGTTTTATGTCATGTGTTTCTTTTATAGGACAAGTCCGGAACGAGATCCTCTCATTCTTCTATCTCGGAAAAACCCCAAACTTATTGATGCAGAATACACCAAAAACCAGGCCTGGAAATCTATGAAAGTAATCACCAATCATCTGAATAGAACTTCAGAAGTGAATGTTCTCACCCAAAGAACATTGCCTCCTGGGTAGAATCTCAGATTAGGTTTCCTCTCAGTGTTGGGATGAATGTAAAGTTCCATGAACTAGTACTAGCATATAGTAAATTACTTGTTTTCAAATGTACATTGTTTTCCAGGCCCATATTATGAGTAGTGTTTTATATTACTTTGAAGGTTTAAAACAGGTCACAAACTTTTTATATAAAGGGCCAGATGGTAAATATTTTAGGCCTTGTGGATGTATGGTATCTGTTGTAGTTACTCTGCCAATAGTGTGGAAGTAGCCATTGACAATATGTAATTGAGTGAGCATGGCTATGTTCTAATAAAACTTTATTTATGGCATTGAAATTTGAATCTTATGTGATTTTCATGTGTCATAAAATATTCTTCTTTGGGTTTTTTCAACCATTTGAAAGGTAAAAATACGTTCATAGGTTGCATATAAAATAAGCAGTGGCCAGATTTGGCCTGTGGGCTGTAGTTTGCCAACCCCTGGTTTAAATCAAAGGTTCTTAACTGCCTGTAATACAACCAGCGGACTTAAAAATGAACCAGAAACTCTGGGGAATGGGGTCCAGGCATCTTGACATGTTTAAAACTCTGCAAGTGATTCTAAGGTGAAGCCAGCCATGCCTTGCTTTTTTGGCTTGGAGTCCATCTGTGTTCTCCTAACTCTATGACTTCTTACCTAATTCAAAGAACTCTTAAGCCCTAAATGTCTTCATCTGAAATGTCCATATACCATAAGAGGATGATAGGAGAAAAGTTTTTAAACTTTTCAAGGGAAAAACTAAGTATATCTGATATGCATGTATTTTTCACTTGATAGTTTTAATCAAACTGGAGCAAATCAAGCCTAAGAAATTTTATTTAAAACTAAAAACTATGAGAAATGTATCCATTTAGTATACAGCATCTGCTGTGGGAGGCTGCAAACAAGATTTGTTCCCCTCACCAAGGAGTTTACCAGAGTTTATCATCTGCTCAGGTAGCTGGAATATAGATGGGGTCTCAAACTCAAATGCCCCAGGTCCACAGGAGCAAGCAGGAGAGCGTACTAAAGGTCTGGTTACTGCTGCCAAGGGGAATAAGAGCCCACTTTACAAGATCTTCCTTTTCCTTCTTACAAGGAAAGTTGGAAATCTGGCTTTCTGTAAGAAACATCCTACTATCCATAAATGTTACCAATGGTTTAAATATTTGTTTTTAAATATTTTGTATGCCCAATAAAATCTGTGTGTGGGCTATACCTCTAAGCTCACCAGCCACCACTTGTAACCTCCTGTGTGTACAATTTACATAGAATTAAATGTGCTGCAGGTCATGACCTCTGAGTTCAAAGGAGGATCCACAAGGCTCCAGGAGAGCTTAAACTCTGAAATCAGGTCAGCCCAGGTTAAAACCTTTGCTCTTCTACTTAGAGCATGTGACCCTGAACAAGTATCCCAACTTCTTGAAGCCTTGGCTTCTTAATCTGTAGTCTGGGGTAATAACACCTCCTGAGTATGTTTATTATGAGACTTAAATGAAGTCATGTTGATGAAATGTTTAACAATGCTTGCTGCTCCATGGTCTTCAGTAAATGCTACTACTGCTAATAGTGAAAATGTTTTTTTTCATTTGAAGGATACCTTGGGAAAGCCAGCCACTAAGGATGTCCATCTCGTGGATCACTGCAAATATAAGTAAGATGTCCGGGACTCCTGACTCCCTTGGTTTCCATGTTGTTTTTGGAATAGGTGCATTTTGGGTGAGAACTTAAATACTAGGGCCCAGCTGGGGTTTATGAAAGTCACATTAATTCACTTGGCTGTTGTTTACTGAGAACATATAACACACAAAGCTCTGGCCCATGCGAACTGCAGAGGCAATGAATTACAGTCCCTGCTTCCAAGGAGCCTGTGTGCCAGTAATCAAAGTGACAAGATTCGCCCTCTCCACATACCACCCAGCCAATAGATGAAGTTAGATAAAGTATTTATCAGGTTAATAAAGTAGTTTATGTTTCAAATGAATAAAGCATATGTAACTAAAATATTATCCACAAATGCCAAGACTAAGGAGTAGAGAACAGGTAAAACCAGACCAGGATGGCAGTGGAGGAATCTAGAGAGATGAATACTGATTACACTGCACAGTGGGAACTATATGGTAGAAAGCAACTCTGGTTGGAGATGGGTACCTGCATGAGAGATGCTGACAAGAAAATGTTCTTTGCTAAAATAGCTTTATTCCAGGTGGCATTTCTCTGAAGATTGATTAGGTAGGCCTGGTACTCCTCTCCAGACATCAGAAGACAAGGAAACAGGGAACAGGGATGCCTTTGACCAAATGGGGTGCCATAGGAGAAAAACAAGGCTGTGGGGGCCATGACTGGTTACAGACAGTAGACCTAGAAAAGCTTGTAGGAAAGGATGAGATCAGTTTTCATCTGGGCCTTGCATCTTCTCTACCTAGCACCCAGCCCCTGCCTGACCTAGCTCAGACTGGACAAAGTATCCCCCTTTCCCCTCACCCTGACATTCCCAGGAACAGCCTGTAGCCCCTGGAAAAGCAATGAGTTTATGGAAACCCTACAGGGACATGCTGATGTGTCCTTGAAAACTGCAAATGGAAAGAGAAGGGAGATAGGTCATAAAAGGAGAGAAGGAATAAGAAGAAAAAGGTCATATTTATGGCAGCAGGCCACAATAATATCAAATACATATCAAAATAGTATCAGATATATTTTGTTCTTTCTTTCCCAGGTACCTATTTAATTTTCGAGGCGTAGCTGCAAGTTTCCGGTTCAAACATCTCTTCCTGTGTGGTTCGCTTGTTTTCCATGTTGGTGACGAGTGGCTGGAATTCTTCTATTCACAGCTGAAGCCATGGGTTCACTATATCCCAGTCAAAACAGATCTCTCCAACGTCCAGTGAGTGGCTCTCCCCCAGGCAGAGTTTCTAATGACTTCCAGAACAGTCTGTCTCTAAATCCCCAGCCATTTAAAGCATTTACTCCTGATTACTTTTTCCATTCAAAGCTTTTTTCTTACTTGGTTCGCGTATATAGTACTGCACTTACTTGGTTCTCATATATAGTATATATAGTGGGATTTAATTTGAAATTGAATAGTGGGATTTAATTTGAAAAAGTGCTCTAATGATGGTTCAGGATGTAACATTTAGATAGTATGCAGTGAAAAAAAAGCTATAATCTCTCAAAGACTAAGGATAGATAGTAATTCTTGTTACACTCCCAAAACACTTTCAGCTGCTGTGTGAGAATTGACCCCAGTGAACCTGAGACAAATTTCATCTCGTAATAGGAGAAGCTAGAAAGAGGTATGAAAAAGGCCCCAAAACGAGAGCCAGTGCCCTCTTTTGGGGGCCAAAGCAGAAAACAAGAAAATTTTTTCTTCATTATTGATTTCTGATACATGTCATTGAACATTTCTGTTTGCTCATATATGTCCCAAATCAACAGCAGGTTGCCTTTAGCCTGTGTGGGCCTTTTGTTGTTGTTACTTTGTTCCTGCAAGGACCCTGATTATCTCTGCTTTCACAAAGAAAGAATTCACCATACACATATCCACAGATTAACGCAGACCTCAATCTATGGTCTTTCTGACTTAGCTTGGCCTATATTCCAGAGTCTAATAATTACTTTCTAATATTAATTAACAATTAATATTATTAATTCTAATAATTCCTCTAGGGAGCTGTTGCAATTTGTAAAAGCAAATGATGATGTAGCTCAAGAAATTGCTGAAAGGTAAGTTCTGTTCATTTTTCCATTTCCACTTTATCATCTCCATTTTGCCTGAGCTACAGTTGTATGAATATTGTTACCATGGAGATACCTGGATTTCTTCCTCATTATGCAGAGATAATCAGAACTGAAGCTGTCCTGGGGGAAAAACACTCCATTCACATAGGTCCTAAGCCTGTCCTTTATAGAAGGAGGCTGAAATCTTTGAGGTAATTAAACAAATACTTTTTCTGAGCATTGGCTATTTATATGTTTGTTTTTAAGAAAAAAAAATTAAGTTCTATTGCTAAGTGCATGTGTATTGATAGGATAGCTATAGGGCTGGTTCTGAGGATCAAAAGAGTTAATTCATATAAAGTATTCTGAACAGTGCTTGACACAGGTAAGTATTCAAATAGAAGTTATTAGTATTATAAAATGCTGTGCTTTAATATTCTTGTTAATCTTATCTCTAGGGGAAGCCAGTTTATTATGAACCACTTGCAGATGGATGACATCACTTGTTACTGGGAGAACCTGTTGACAGAATACTCAAAATTCCTGTCCTATAATGTAACAAGGAGGAAAGACTATGATCAGATTATTCCTAAAATTTTGAAAACTGAACTCTAATAGTTATCGTTGGACCATAATCCTCTCTGTGGCAGCATATCTAATACCCTGTGGTGAGAAGCTTACTATGAATGGTGCACCTACACTTTCAATACAGTTATCAAGCCAAATACCTGGTTTTCCTTATCATGCTGCATCCAGATCAACTCTTGAGAAAGATCCTCAATGTGTATAATACAGATATGGAGCAGCTCAACGCTTTGGCTGAATAAGGACCAGAAATCATGATATATGGGTTTTGAATCCAACTCTACTCCTCATTTTCTTAGGACCAATCACAGCTTATGCCTCAGATCATCCACATGTGTCCATCACTGTGACACTGACTGTGTCGATGGGATGATGCCCTTTGTCCCATTATTTGGAGCAGAAAATGAGTCATTTGGAACTAACAGAACTAAAACAATTTATGACCTCAGTTCTGCAGTTATTCTGGGCTTGAGCTATTGTATGTTTTCACATGGGAGTTGTAAAAAATACCTGGAGATCATCTCCTGGAAGGTCTAAAGACTCAAAAGTTGTGCCATGCAATGATGTAGGAGTTCTCTTTTGTAAAGTATAAACTCCTTGGTACTCAGGACGTTTCTGTAAGGCCACACAGAAAGGGGCCTATTCCATGAATAATTACTGCAATTGAATTTCATGTTCCCTTTTTGTGCCTTCACACCCTTCTTTTTATGGTCTATAAAAGAAAAGAAAAAAAAACAAATCTCTTAATTTAGAAAGCAGTCTTCACTCTTTAAAGTAACTCTGCATAAAACAACAACTCTTCTACAACCTAATTTTTTTCCTCCTTAAATTGGCAACAGTCCATACTCCTGATGTCTTAGAGGGAGCTTAAGGGATCTTCAAATATGAAATGTTAAGTTGGGAGTTTAGAGCATTCAACGTTAGCACTGACTTATACAGGAGATACTTGTTTTAGTACAAATCCATGTTGGAGTGTCTCCTTTTTCCTTTTTTTCCTTCCTGAAAAAGACATTCAGATAGTAGTTTAATCTTTCAGGTCCCAACATAGTCAAAAATGAAGGAAAATTTTAGATTAAAACCTCTATAGTCTGATGACTCAGAACCATCCTTGTCCCTTAGACCAACCTTCCCACAGAGAAATCAACTCTTTTCCTTTGCCTGTTAGAATTGTTTAGTATTAATTGGTTTCAAAATTAGTAAGTGTGAGATTCAGTAAGAAGAGATTTTATTCCATTTATGAGAAGTGTATTTGAACTTTTAAACTCCCTGCCACAAAATTTTAACTCTAAGGACCTTCCTAAAGTAGTTGAATATCCCTGGTAAGATCATTGCATGGAATAAGGCAGACATTTAAAGTTGAATTTTTTGTTTTTGAGTATTAAAAATTCATAGGGACCATAGCGTTAGGTGCTGTAAGTCTAGCTATAAGCAGTCTGAATTTCTGAGTTGTCTTGTAGTTTTGTCTGTGTCATTATGAGGCTTTGGTAGATGTTCTCATTCTCTCTGAATTTTAATTTCCTTTCACTGAGCTAGGAACAAAATTTTCTGTCCTTTGGATTAGGAGCTGAAACTGAATTTCCCTGTGAGTGTTTCAAGTTCCAGCTCAAGTTATCACCTTGTCTCTAAATCCTTTCTTTCATTACTCTAGGTAGTTAGAGGCTATCATAATACTTTGCTCATGCCTATATTGGGTAACATCACATTGCACTATAGTTATCTATTTCTCCTATGGTTCTCTGAGCTTCTTAATGGGTGCAAATCATGTTTTATACATCTTAATGTCTCCATTATCTATACAGTTCCTCCAGAGCTCACACAGAGCAGACACTAAAGAATTATTGGAAGAAAGGATGGATGCATGGATAGTTGGATGGATGGACGGACGGACGGACGGACGGACGGACGGATGGATGGATGGAGACAGCTGGCTTAACTAGCTCCTATTTTCAGATTGATAAGCATTGGCTCCTAAGGTGACTGGACAAGACTGTAACAAATGGATCAATGCAAATTCTCATCTGCTCATTAAAGAGGCAGTAGGGCGTCTTTGTATTTAAATTCAGCAAATGTTATTCAGATTTTATACTTATCTGTTTACCTCAGTGTAAATGATATGAGGATGATGTGTGACAAGATGCAAAATGTATGTGTTTGAAAATAATTTTATCCCCATAACTTTTGAAGGTTGTTGTTCATATTAGCTGGGCAAAACTTAGCTATACTTTTCTTCAAGGAAAGAGAATAATGTAGTTCATTTGAATGAAGTGGCATACGGGGATAACACAAGTAATGCTTTTCCTTTCTTTATTTGGCGAGTATTATCTGTGTGATGTTTGTCAGTGTCCCACCTTATTCTACTGTGTTAGGTCAGGTTCTCCTAGTTGCCAAGAGCAGAAACTGTCTCTAGTTAGTTTAAGCAAAAGAACTTGTTAAAGGGATATGAGGGTGTATGATAATGAGTCCAATCACACACCCAAGTGGGCAGGTTGCAATGGGAAAGTGCTTGAAAGACCAAAGGGAAGATCCAGATGCCATAGGAGATGTGGGGGTTTACTGGGACATACGTACAGCGAGTCCAGGAGCAGATGGCTGGATAGGGTTGTACACCACTATGGTAGACAGGGAGGGAACTGTTTATTTGGGGTGAGGGGGCAAAGATTATGTGTGTGCTAGGGGTGAGGGGACAGAGACTACATGCTTTACTAGAAGGGATCATTCTTATGTGACCAGCGTCCCAAGGAACAAAACCTTGGCCAGAGGGGTCTGCCTCCCAATAAGATGTTTCCATCGATAAGATGGGCCTGGATTTGGCCAGCCCCCTGCCATCAACACACCATACACCTAACCATACACCTAAGCATATTGTCCAAAGGAGGGGGCATGCGGACACATGGTTATTCTGGGGCAAAATGTTATAAGTGGGCAGGGCTTATTTCCACACAGAGTATCCTGAAAGATCTGAACAAGTTTTATAGCAGTTGAAGGGTTGAAAGCAGTGCAACCCCAGGCACGCCATCTGAGCGAAAGTTCTAAACTGCCCCAGAGTGCTGCTGGGCAGAGTTGCAGACACTGCTAGGTTGTCTCTTGGATGAAGATTCCCAAGAAAAAATTCAATGGGCTCCTTTGGATCAGCTCCAAAAAGGATAGTTCCAACCCTTCACCCATACACTATGAACAGGCACACACACATGCATAAAACCCCTCTTCCCATGCATCTAAAAATGCTTTTGGTTAAAATAATCCTACTGCATAGAGAGGTGTGGTGTGACTGAAACAGAGAGATACAATTACAAATTATTTAATATTTGTCATATACTTCTTGAGCATCTGTACACAAACAGTGGGAGATAAGAAAATACTACAGGCTCCATAGCTTCAAGGGACTCTGTAGTTGAGATTATAAAGTAAATAATATGAGAGGCATCATAGGCAGAAGGTGATTAAGGTAATGTGAGGCCCTAATCATAAGGCCAATATTCATACAGACAATGTGGATTTGGAGTTTAGAGGAAGAACTTTATCTGGTGCAGACAGGAAACTTCATGGAGGTATAAAAACTGAGGAATGGTAAATAAGGTGGTCCTTGGGAGTTCTCAAAATTCTACCTGTAGAAAGTTATTGTTATATGTAATACAATTAACTGTAAATACATATCAAGAGTAGTACCTCGTGAACCTAGCAAGGAAAGGGAAATTTCTGACCCCTGGGTGAAAATTCACAAGGGAAGAAGCTATTGAGCTCTATGAACAGAACTCAGCAACAAGGGCTAAGGGTAGGACACCGGTGGTTCCAGGCACATCACAGTGACTGTCCTGAGATCCCACACTGATGGCCTTTGCTTTGGTGGCAAATGCACATCCTGGAGAGCAGAGAACTGTATGTGAAACAGTGGCTCAAGTAAACCACATAACACCTTTCGGTTTAGCCTTTCTTGGAGACCCTTCAAAAAGAGCAGACCACCGAGGAGGGCAAGTATTTCCCTAGTAGTAAAAAAAAGGTAAGACCCTGGAAGCAGGAGTGTAGGAGGGTTAACAGAGAGGTAGAATCTGAGGAACTGAGAGGGAATAGCAGCAACAGTGTGAGCAGTAGCAAAGATTCTGGGGACTTCTTGAAGTATTAGATGGCAAAGGGAACCTTACAAATGAGACTCCAGTTACCTAAAGGAAAAGGCAGCTATAGAATTAGTGAAATTTTCCTGTTAATATGACCTCATTTGTATCTCTAAGAAGTGAGCCCTGGGAATATTAGAGCTATATATAAATGATTTCATTAGTATCTGCATAACAACCTGCCCCACAATCCTAACTCCTGCTTCATCCCAGAATGATTTTGGAATCATTTTAAGCATTTGGCTTTCTCTCCATGTGGACTAGACAGACTATGCCGTCATTTTCTCGGGCTTTTAGGCCTTGGGATTTTATCTTCGTGCCCAGCGGGGCCTGTATGAGATACGGGACAATCTGGAGCCAGAAGTCAGGGGATCTGAATTCTTCAACAATCTACATGCTAGACACCATGCTAGGCAATCGACATACAAAGATGAATACACAGTGGTCTCTGACCTTAAAGTTAGTCTATTGTGACACCTCAGCACACAGGAATTTGTCATGCAATGTAGTAGGTTCTATAATGGGAGCTGAATCTAATCGTGTCTCCCAGACACCAGAAAAATCTTCCTGGCACTGTCACTAACTCAGTCACTTCAGTCAGCTGCTTCTCTCCCTTATCTATAAAATTCCAGCTAACAAATTTCAGAGTTCTATTTACCGTATTCTACTAAAAAGCACACCCTTTTGAATTACATCGAGAGGAATAAAAGAGGGGTAGGGATTGGCAAAAGGGGATTATGGCTGCTAGTAAAGGTTAAATGAAATTACCCAAACCGGTATGAGGATATTTTAAATGTGCGTATTTTAGTAAGAACTACACCTCAAAACATGTTAGAGGCATATTGATGGTAAGTTATTGCTGGACTAACACCTGATAATTCCATAAATTGCTCAGCCTTTTGAGAAACAGTGGGCATATGAAGTAAGGGAGGGTAAAATCCATCTTGTGAGGAATTTTCCAAAGCCGATTCTTTTTTAAAAAATGTTTTCTGGAAATCTTGCTGTGTCTGACACCAAGACCCATCTTCAATGCCTGTTCTTTCCGTCCAGCGCGGGGGGGCTTCCCGTGCCTGCTGGGCGGGGTGGGCTTGTATTTGCACAGACTGCCATCCTCAATTTCCGTACTCCACTTCTGAACACTGCACTTCTTCATCTACGTGCGTTTTATTTAAACATGCTAAACTCCTTCAGCCTGGGACCACAGGGCCCACCGGTCAAAGCCCGGGTTTGTGTAAGCCTTAAAACCCAGGGAAGCACAGTCACATAGTACCGAGCGTGGCTACTCGCCGCCTCCTCACTTCCGGGGGGAACGAGCCTAGCAAGTCCGAAGTCCATCCCGCCTCCAACCGGAAGTACTTTAGGCTCCCGTTCCGCCATCGCCTCGCCCCTTAACCTTTGCCCTGGAGGGGGCGGGACTTCCTGTCTCGTGCGTCCTAGGTTCTCCAATAAGACCGGGCACTGAGGGCAAAGTTGATGAAAGCTGTAGCCGCTAGGCTGGCTGCGGGTTACCTCGGGCCTAGTGTGCGGCGGCGGATACTCACTTGCCCTTGCCCTTACTGTACTCCCATGGCGTCTCCTGAGGCCACGGGGCCTGAGAACGCAAGTTCGGAGAGGGTTACGGAGTTGCGGCCGCCGGCGCCACAGAGCTTCCTCTGCAGGGCTTTGGGTCCTTTCCCTCGTGTCCTTGCTGCTAAAGCTGTGGCCGCCGATTCGGAGACCCTTGCGGAGGACCAAAAGCTGTCTTCCTGCGTCCCAGAGCCCCATAACTTGGAGTCCGGATGGGACCGCCTCCGGGAACTGTTTGTCAAAGAGTAAAAGTGCCCAGGGTCCGTGGGGAGGGGCTGCAAAGGCGGGGCTTGCAACCTGGGTCATCCTGGGGCGAAGGACCCTAAGGTGGTGTGGGTTATTTTTAAATGGGACTTGGGGGTCTAATATTTGTACTCCAAGCTTGTATCACCACATTGCTGTTTGGTAGTTCTGTTGATTGACAGAATGGTTTTGACATGTTAAGGGTGAGACTCAGAGCTCTTAGAGATTAAATGGAAATACAGTTTTAGTGTAATCCCCTGATTTTACAGATTAGAAGAATTGGGCCCAACTATAACACGAGATACGACCCTTGTATCAACATAAGTATATCGTTCCAGTATTCTTTTTCGTGTTTCACATGCTATCAAACTTTGGTATTTCGTATTTGATATTTCATTCAGTCGCCCCACTCCCCTCCAAAAAATGGAGGTTGGAGAGATGGCAGAGAGAATTGTAAAATTTTTATTCTGCCATATAAGGGATACAGAAAAAGTAGTAGCAACTATTGTCTCATCATTTTTTTAGAACAAATTAGCTGGATTACTAAGGATATTTCAGAATAAAGAATAACCCCTCAAACTGAATTAACTTAAATGAAAAAGGACATTTCATTTATTCATTTCATCATTCCTTCATTAGTGATGAAAGGTTCACCCTTTCATTAAGTATTTTACCACACTACACTGTTATCAAGTGATTAAGTTAACTCTGAAGCTTTATTATGTTGCTGAAATAGTTGGGGCGAGGGAGTTAGCAGGATTGTATTTAATAACTTTGCTTAGAATTCATCGTGTTTATATTAAAGATAATAAGGCAGCCTTTCTCATTAGTCCTTGCAATATTTACTTGAGATATTTGTGAAAGATCCTGTGGAGTACATAACACTTTGATCAGCTTTTATACATCACAGTATGTTGGAAGTGAAAGAAATTTGAAAGATAATCTAGTATAACTTTTATGCTGTCCGTCGTTGGATGAGGGAATACAGGCTCACAGAGACTGTGGTCTGGCTGTAGGTTATTTAACAGTGAGTGGTAGAACTAGAGCCACAACCCCATTGTAGCTATTTACAGTCTAAGTCCTTTCCACCATTGTGCCCTGTCTCTCCAGCTATTTGGGTAAACCATATAACTTTTTAGACCCTCTATTTCCGTATTAATAAAGTGGAGATAAATATCACCTACATCATGGACTTTTTCAGAAAGATGAAAAAGGGGCAATGCATATCCATCTCCTTGCTTGTTAAATCTTAATCTCGTTTACATTTTCTCTTTTCTGAGTTGTACCATATACCAGTTTTTATGTAAATATTTTTTATCTTATTCAAAAGATCAAAGATAAAATATGTTTTCTTTTATAGATTATAAG